GGGCAGTTGGTGAGATTTGTTCATGAATTGCCATTTCTTTTGTTGTTTTGGAAGAGTTAAGTGCACTGTAGCTGGCTTTCATAGAAATACTGGTGCAAAAGGAAGGAAGGAAGGAAAGTTTCAGACACAACTCAACTGAATTGATATTTAATGCCTTCAGCACAATTAGAAGCAAAAATCAGAAGCTCTGATTTTGCTGTCTCTTCCGAAAAACCCTCCTGTGAGGCTCTGAATACTAAACAGTGTCATTAAGGGCAACACAATCTAATCCAGAGATGAATGCAAGTTGCACCAGGACATAATTTTTAGATAATTAAAGTTTGTGACCTGATGAGATCTGGTTCGGTCCAGTTTCTGGCACTAACATCAAATTAAATGAGCAAGCACTATTTATATGTCAAATAATAGTTAACAAGCAGACTGACCTGAAATTGGCATCTCCCTACTACAGGTAATATCAAGTTCATCAGTTCTTGTAAGTACCTTGCTGGAACACTGTGTTGAAGAGCAACAATTAGATATAATTTAATGACATTTTGTGGAAAACTAAAAATCTCAGATAACTACACCTCAGGAGACCTACACTGTACAATGTGTAGTCCAACTTTAACTGAAAAAACAGCTATTATTAGTGCCTTTCAAAGCTTTGCTTTTATTTTCTTCCACTTACCTATTTTACACTATAGTGTACTTACCAGTACTGGCATATGCATATTATATTTGTATGTAGTACAAGGAGTGTTTTCTCACATATGACTGTGTTATAACCTCTAAACAATAGGAGAACTCAGCTGTTTTTTTTTTTTCTGGATTTATTACACACTGAAGTAGTTTCCCCAAAATTTGAAAGATACATTTAAAACTTTGGAGCAAAGCTTGTATTTGGAAGAAAACCCCAAAATAATAGAAAATTACATATAGGTATACGAGTCATCCAGCTATAGGTTTGATAAGGTCATCTGATTAAGGAACTTCTGTTTGCTCCCATTTGCACTTGTAATTTAGGAAGGAGTGAAAGGGAAGTGAAAAACAAATGTACTTGATTCAAAGGTATTATTACAGCAGTAAGTATTTTTTTCCTCCCAACTTAATAGGTTTGTTCCCATAACCCTTGTCAGCGTCTCCTGCAGCTCTATATTATTTTATTTTAGCTGAATGACAGTTTAAATGTTGTTGTAATAATGATCTGTCTTTAAAACTGGTATCATTTTGGTTTGGTCTCTTGTTAAATACTTTCCTCCTTAATTGCCTTTTCATTCAACCAGAAGACTTACAATGCCAACCACAGCACAGCTGAAAAACAACTCATTGTATCAGTCACAGACTCTCATAATGGAGCACCTTAATAACAGCAACTTCTGTACTTCTTGAAGGCATGAGATAAATTAGGTTCAAAGTCCATTATTTGAACAAGGGTATCTGACTTATGGCAAATCTATCTGAAAGAGTATTGTAGAATTGTATTTTATCTTTAAGAAATGTGCTTTCTAAAAGTAAGATATTTACTTCTGTTGAAGTAAAGGATTTAAACAGAAGAATTTCTCTCTAATGTTTGTTGACTCATACTAGAATGATGAGATAGAACAGAGCCATACATCAAACAACCGATGTGAAAAACTTAGTGCTGCATTTTATTTCAGGAGGGAAGGCTGAGCACAGAATGCCCAATGGTTTTGCCAGAAGCATACTCTCTTCCTTATTTACCAAGCTATATAGACATTGAAGAAGGTGACAGCACTCTTAAGCTTTTAATATAGCTGGAAATTATGGATGTGCGTATTTACTTTTTCTTTCACAAAGAACATCACAATGGCAGTGCTGGAGACTGCGTTTCTCTGACTCTGTAGAAGAGCTATAATGTAAAGGGAGGCAAGGCAGGTGTTTGGTGGACATTTTTTTTTTTTTTTCCTGTAGATGCCCCAGAAGTTTGTCCTCTTTGTCAAGTAAAGAACCAAGAAGACGTGAAAAGAGAACTCTGCCTTTCTTCCCAGGCCTGTTTTTTTGGGAGATTTCCTTGCTGTGTAGTACTAATTAATTAACAAGTACCACACATAGTATTCACTCTGGTGGCCATTTTCTGAGGAGTTTTCTTAAGCATTGAACTGACACTAAGAACTCATTTTTTGGGTGCCTGTCAGGCATCAGCAGACAACCTCTGGGTTTTAGTATGATCTGGAAGGGATTTGGACTTACAGTTAAACATCTGGGAAATGCTATAATGCACTGAAATTTCCTGTACAAGTTCCTTTGGTTTTGGCTCAAATAACACAGGTTCAATCTTCTTATGTAAACACTTGCTCCTAATCTTTACCAGAATTGCCAAGAGGTCAGCCAATCCTTTCTTGATATTTCTTGATTCACAACTAGGACACAGATAAGATTTAAGTCAATCAATTACTATTTATACAAAGTTCCTTAAGGTATAAATGGAAATAAAACCTACTGTGATTTTTGATCCCATCTTACCAACCCCTTCATTCAACTGCCTCAGTGTCCATGGTCTCCTACTCCTGGGAGCAGGGCTATTTTGCTTAGAATAAATAGATGATTTGGGGCAAAAGAAGGCATTCTGTAGACTGAGTGCCATGCCACTGAGATAAAGTGGAGTCTTAAGAACAAAAGCAAGGTGAGTCAGTAAACCTTGTCTGCAAAAGAGTCAACTAGAAGTAGGATTTCACAACCGTAATACTGTTAACAGTAGTTCAAGCAGCGCAGTTTCTCCTTGTCATGGATACAGAGGGCCTGCCTAAATAGGTGGAGACAATAGACCACTTAAGTCCTTCTGGTAGAGCATCTTTGATTCAGAGTAGTGGATATGTAATGTTATAGGCACTTACAGTGATTACTGGAAAATTCGCAATAGAAATTATGTATGTGGAAGCAGAGAGTGGGAAAACTGAGGAAACCCTTACAGCTGCTTCTCCAGGCCATTACAGGTCCATAGCTATTGGATGCCTTTCATCTTTTTCTTTCTTGAATAAGGAAACAAAGTTCAGCTTTTTCCTAAATACTGGACCAGATGCTGTACTGCTGTCACACCTGCAACACTGCTCTGTTTCCTTTGAGTTGCAGACACAGACTCCTGGCATCAGGATCTGTAAGGGAAATTAGTAGGGCTGTGCATCCAGGTATAAGTATTGCTGTTGTTGCAAGACATCTGACATTTAAGACTTTAGTATATAAAGCCACTTTGGGAACAGCCTTCCTGAGTTGCAAGAATAATTAACTGCTACCTTCTTGAGACTTTTGATTTGCATTACTACTCCCTTTAGTATTTCTCTATGCTTTGACTGCCCTCCCTGGTCAGTCTGTCTGTGTGCTTTCCACTGATTCAGGATGACAATGCCCAGCTAACACATCTCCTTGAATGTTGGTGCTTCAATACACAGAATTCTTCTGGCAGTAAGATCATCTTTTTGGCTTCTAAAAATGAATTTTTCCCAACCACAGTTTCAGCTGATGTTTGGGACTGTTGCATGTCCTGGGGAGACAGATGCATCTTAGTCGGTACAAAATAGAATAAACATGAGATTTAGGTGAATAATGGCTTTCTGAACAAATTAAAAATATTTTGGTGCCTGTTGCATTAGAGCTTGAGGAACAAACAGGTGTAAAATGAACATGGCCATTACACATGTCATGGTCTGCAGTTACAATGAGTTAGTCTGTAAGTTGCATGGCAGATTTCATGCAGAATCCTCTAGAATATGCCAGTAAAGACAGTTTCCAAGATGCAAAGATCTCCATAAAGATCACAACCTAGTGTCTAGTACTTTGAAACATTCCAGTAGGTGTACTACTTTTATTATACTTTCATTAAGCTTATTTATGGTGGTAGAGGCTCTTTCCATGTTGTAGAAATGCTACCACAACAATTTTTATGTGTTTATTGTTACTTTTTGAGTAACCCTTTTCTCAGAGAGAACTAAGAGGACTGTTTTTTAGCGCATTTGGATACTGACAGTTTTAGTGGATCTATGATGTTATTGGCATAAGATTACTTCAGTAACTAAATATTTTACAATACTAAAACTTCTACTGGGAACTAATATCAATAAAATAATTCAACACAAAAGAAAGTATGTGGCATCATGATGAGAATAGAGGCAATATCGTTGGAAAAAAATATTCTCTAGGAAAAATATCACTAGCATTGATTTTCCTTAGAAAACCTCACAAACAAAGCGTATTTGCCATATTTATGATATAGACCTCATCTTATGCTTTAACAGCATTCTGTCATCCTCATCCATATTAACTGAATGTCTCAGTATTGTAAATGGCAAGATTAGGATCACAGCAACAGACAAACATAGTGTCAGCTCTGCTAGATCTAGCCTTCTGTTTTATGTGCACATGGATGCTAATGTAGTAGGCCTCTGATCTGGAGGTTTATACGCTGGAAATAATAATGCTAGATTTGCTTGTTTGCCCAAAATATATGCTTCTCTGGGTTGTGACAGTGTTAGAGATTTTTGAGTTGATCAGAAGTACAAGTGTTTATTTTGCATGTTTTTGGTAGGCTGCTATAAACTAAGAGTAGGTTAGTCCAAACAGTAAATACAAGGAAATGGTCCTATTTCATTTTTGAATCCGAATTTGTTACATTTCTGAATCCTGGGATAGTAATTTTGTTCTCAGATTTTCCTCTCCAGCTTCTATTGAAGTGTCTGGTTTTATATCCAAGGTTTCTCAGGATTGGAGTTTGGGGATCCTGGGAGTGTGTTTCAGGTGAAGATCTTTTTCTTGGGGGAAATTTATCATTAATAGCTGGGTGGATTCCAGTGCAGCTGAAGTGTCTGATACCAAGGTAAATGACATTGCTTAAAAATGATGGCCGTGAAATGCAGGTACATTGCAAATCACTCAGCTGCAGAGTCTTGGAATAAGAGCACTGCAGAGCTGATGTATGGACTGATGTTGCTATTTAATGTGGTTTCCCAGCAAACCTTTCATAAAATTCATGACTGTAGCTGACCTCTGTTACTGTGTTCCTCTTAGGGGAAAAAAAAAAGGCTATAACCCAGCTCTCTACAGCAGTGCACTGAATAGTGATGTGTGATGTGAAGCAAGGTGAGGGGAATCATGTTCACTTCACCACAGACACTAGAGGTAAGCCTGTAGTCAGTTGATTAAATGTCACAGCATATTCGACAGTCTTCTGGGCTGACAAGGCTCTATTCTGACCAGCTTCAAACTAGGAGACTGATTCAAATAACATTTTCTACCAGCTTAAACCACATTTCCTACCAGATTTACTCCATTGCCAGTGTTGCTTTACACCTATAAAGGTAAAAGCAGAACCAGCCATCAGCTTCCAGTGGGAAACATACAGCTTCTTCATGTTATAATTTCTACATAATACAAGACACTGCTTATAGTATGTCACTTTTGTGTTAGATATAGTTATTTGGCTTCTGGTTTATGCATGGCTATGAGTGCTGATGTTTCCTGAAATCAGTAGTTCTGGCCTGTCCTATAAAATCTTAGCTTCTTGTGTAAGAACTGGTGTACCATTTTTTTCACTTCCACTATAGCTTACAGTCAAGGGACAGTTTGCTGATGTGTGGTAATGCAGCAGCCAGCTGAATCTGAGGCAAAAGGACTGGCTAATGTGGTGATGCCTGAGCCACCTCCAGAGAGGGCAAAACACAGTGCAGATGGTGCAGATGGTGAAAAATGTAATAGTAGAGGTGCTTAGGTACCATGAAAATGCAAAAAGAGGCAAATAGTATCCGGTCAGACAGATGGCATATTTAAAAGTGAGGGGAGACAGATGCTGAAGAAGCACTTGTTTTCTTCCTTCCTCTGTGTGAAATGGTATATCAAAATCTACCTCTCATTTCTACTTCCTTGTTTTTCAACTTCTCACCATCCTCAGAATACTTTAAATTACGAGAGCTGAGAAGGTATAGTCTTTCATATATGATTCCTGTGTTTTGGGAAATAGAATATTGACAGTTACCAGTACACGCCTTTGTCACTATCACCAACTAAGAATAATTTAGCCCTTTTGTTCCTTCAGATCAATTAATAAACAGATGTGTACATAATACTTTCATCCACGTGTGAATCTCTACCTTCCTGGGGAAAACTATTTGTGAATACAAATCAGTTGTGTGATATTGATACCCACACTATCACTAGAGCATGCCATGTAGCATTTGTTTCTCTAGGAGGGTGATGTATTGGTCCCTAAAGATCTGCAGCACAGTTGAGAGCAATTGCTTTTTTCTCCCTAACTCCACCTTCTCTCTGCCAGTGCATGTGTATGCAATGAGGAGGGTAAGGCAGGAAGATGTAGAAAAGAGTATGTTCCTTTTGACCATGTTTCCTTAGAGGAAAGGAGTATCGCTTGTTCTAATTCAGTGATGATGAGTTAATGATATAGGATTTGCCTGTTGGACAATGTGCCTGAAGTTTTTTTCAGATTAGCTCCCAAAGTTCCCCCCAGTAGTGATTTGGCAATATGCCATGATAACTGCAAGTAAGAGCTTCCACAGTTCTATCCCATTTCTAGTCCAAACAAACTGTATGTATGGTAATATGGTGCAATAGTGTAAAAAGATTTACAATATAATTTTTTTTTTTATTCTAGCTCTGTCTGGGCTATATAGTCCCTGCCTGTTTTATTTACTCCATAGCTATTCTTGTTTTGTAGCTATTTCCTTTTCTTGTAGCTCTAAGGTCAGTCAAAGGACAAGATGTTCCTTCCAGAGATGAGTTGTGAACATGAACAAGTAGACTGTGTAAATGCTTCTTTTCTTCTGTGTCATTCTGAAAACCTAGCATGGGGGAAAATAAAAACAAAAAAGTCTCCTTCAGCTCAGAATTTAGGTCCTCAGATTTTGAGGTTGACATTGTTCCTTTGATGCCTCTCAGTAAATTACAACAAAATAGTTGCAAGGTGTTCCAGTTCTGTGTTTATATAAGTTGTAATTCTCCAGGTTGAAACTGGGATTTTTTGTGGCCATTAGAATGTATGGGACAGAATAAATTTTTTTTTTCTATTTTGCTAGAATTTTTTTCAGTAATTTCATTGTTTCTATTTTTAAAATGATGTCTTGATTCATAAACAATGTTGCATAAGCAATGTTACATCATGCTAGAATCATCTATACTTTGCTACGACATTAATACAAGTGTTAATGGCTACTATTCTAAATGTTTGCTCTGTAAGATCAGAGGATTTTAATATCCAGGCAGAAAAATTGATTAATAGAAACAGAAAGAGTAGTAGTACTACAGTCAGGTCCTCTTTCTTTCTTCTTCTGGACAATGTAAAAGTGCTGATGGTGCTTAATGCCTTCATTCATAAGCAGTTACAATAAGTCTTTAATTATTTCTGGCATATGTCCTTTACATTCAAAGCCTGTAAATCTCAATGGGTAAAGGGTAATATGTCTTAACAGGTTACACCTCCCAAAGGATTTGTTGATTGACATGAAAATTGTTTCCCCTCCCTCTCTTCTGAGTGACAGAATGGCAGGTGTGAAGTGATGGCAGTGTGCTGTAATAATGTGTCAAAAGACCTTAAATCAAGACTAATGTGGCTTCAATGATAAGCTCCCAAACGATTGTATGGCAGAAAATGGAACTGTAGGGCAGATTCATTTTGGGACTATTATATCTTTGCACTTCCTAAAAGCACTTTTTAGTTAGGGTCCTAGGATGATTACGGGCCAGAGGTTTTAGATGTATTTCTTCTTACAAAGTCATCAGGAGGAGAAAAACATTTCTATGCTCAGTACTGCAAAATGAAAAACTTAACATCTAATGGGTTGTTCACACAATGATCTTTTGTTATAAATATAATCCAGAACCTGAAACAGATAAAAATATACTTGTTTCAGCAGCTACTGATGATCACTCCTTTGAACAGAACTCAACATTTAATGTTTGAAGAAACAGTAAAAAGGCAATTAGCGTAAATAAGGGTGAATACACAGATTCATGCAAGCCAGCTCTGATGTGCAGTTTGTAGAGAATTTCCTGACTAAAGGGAAACTGAACTCACAGTCAGAAACATGATGTGTCATTAAATCTCCATTTTATTCTACAAGAGTGGGTCTTTGCATGTATAGATATAAAAAAAATTAACAAAATAGCACAGAAGCTGCTGAAGTCCATTCAAATTGTGGTACAAAAGGATCCTCAAATTCTGCATAAAAAGTACAGCAGTGGTCTGAATTCTGCCCTAAGGGGCAAACAGATGTTCTCTGACCTTCCCAAGGTTTCAGATCAGGGCCTTCCTCTTCAGTTTCTGTATTTGAGGGTAATTGAGAGAGTACCTGAGTATGGAGTGCAGATTTTTGTGTACAAAACTCAGAATGCTTTTGCATGTTGTTACATCTCTCAAGACAAGAAATTTTGCATTATACAGGTTTAGCCAGAATGTTATGAATTTTAATGAGGAAAAAATGGCAGTCCTGTTGATTATTTTTCTTCTTTGGAAAGCAATTTTTGTGCATTAAAACTGGAGGGCATTTTAAGCTAATCATTATCCAGAGAACTTCATGCTGAAAATTTACAGAAACCCTGCAATTGGATTTTTTACATTGTGTATATTAGTAAAAGCTTTTCTGTACTTAAAAAAGAAAAAAAAAGCATATATATTATTTATATATATATAAACAAACAGGAAAATTGTTTTATGATAGGTAAAAAACATGAATGTGGAAAACCAGAGGTTTTTTCGCTAGGTTTACTACTCAGCATTTACACAGGATGCTAAGAATGGATGGAACTCCACCACTGTTTCACAGAAGATGTGAGAGCTGGTACTGAAATGTGGTGGCCAGTTCCAACTAGATTGGCCAGCCCAATCTAGTTGGATCTAAATGAATGTTATAGTAACACTGTGTCAGTGTGGGGCGCGTATGAACATTAAACGAGAAACTCTGAGTACAAACACCAAACAAAGGGAAATTAGTGCTTTGGCCTTGGACAATGTTCGCTATGGGTAAGACATGAACTATGTTGGCAGGGCAGGTGGGAGAAACTTAATTCCTTATGTGCCATTCCTGAGCTGTGAGAAAACAGAGGTTTTAGGTTATCAGGCCTCTCTAAATAAATTAAACCAAGATAAAACAATTTAAGATCTTTACTTAATGCTTAATGTCACATTAATGTGTGGCCTCTTGTTTCAGTCTCAATCTGCTCAGTGATAATTAGCTAAGAGGCACAGAAGGGCAGGTCTTTATAGAGCATTGCAAAGAATTTTGTGCTTCTCTGAAAACAGCATTGTTCAGGTATCGTGTTTCCTTGCAGGTTTGTATGTGTATCTTTTAATTAGTTTTCAGCAATATGATGACAGATACTGGAAAGAAAGAAGGACTTATATGATAGGACTACATTCTGGCTCAGAAGAAAAAAAACTTATTGCCGTGTGGTTTCTGAGAGTGTCCAGAAAAGAGCTGTGTTGCAACTCCAACTGCCTGCTTTGGTAGGTATTCCTAACGAAACAGGTATGAAAAAAATAGGATAGAAGGCAAGCCAACTCAGGCAACAAATGAAGAAAATAGTAACCAACCAAAAGGGAAGCCAATACAGTCTCTTTAAATTATAATTGTAGGTCAGTTTAAGAAAAAAAATTACCCTCCCAAAAATACTGCTGACTGACAACAAAGTAATGGTCATGGCATCTTTGGAGGAACCTGCCTTACCAACCTTTCAGTGCACAACTAGGAGCTATTTCTGACAGAGGGGAGTCTAGGCACAGAAAAAGAGCTTGTTCCAAATTTTATTTCACATGAGTGAAATTGGATTTCTGGGAAGGGAGGAAAGGGTCTGTGGTCATGGACATAAGTTAACACTGAAAGTGAAATTAAGCACAAGCAGTATGAAAAATTAAGACTTCCTAAATTATTGCATAAATCAGTTGGCTTGAAAGTACAAGTATGCGGAAGAACATTTCCTTTTCACCATGCAAACACTTAAACTGAACAAAGGAGTTTGAAAACTTTTTAATTTCTTTTCTTTCTTTACCTTTAAAACTAAGTCCTCCTTATCAGGTTTGTGAAAGCAATAATAACTGAAAAAAAGCCAAACCTGTTAAATATCATTTGCCTTTTTCCTTAAGAAGCTTGTATGTGTGTGTGTGTTTTGAGGTTGTGAGAGCTGGTTTATTTTTGTTTGTCTATTTTTTTAATATAAAATACTGCAAAAATATCCACTATGGTGAAATCTCAACCCTCCACCCAAGCAGTCTTTGCAGGAAACGTTTTCATTGGAAAAGTTGGTAAAATACAACAATATTCTTAAGCCTCATTTTTCCTCTGAAGCTTTACTTAACCCTCATGCAATAAATATAATCACTGAAGTGAGAAATGGACCCTTTTAATAAGGCTTTTAACTACACATCTTAATGAAACCTAAACAAATGGTGTTCCTGCCACTATGTTGGTTGCATGTGTGTTTATGTATACTATGAAAGCAGAAGAAATACTTTTCATACTTACAGATTTATTGTTCTATGGTAATTTCCAAACAGCACTACAATGTAAACAGACAATTCTTTCTTTTTAAGAACTGCGGTTTACTGGCTTTCTTCTTTGCATGACTAATGACACCAGGAGGGCTTCACAGTAGCTTGATTTGTTACTAGATGCAGAAAATATGTGGATTTGCCTATGAGGACAATGTTTGCATTTTAAGCTATGTTTACTTTTATTTGACTTTTTTTTTTGTTGTTGTTGTTTCTGTAAAGAAAACTTAAATCCTCTGACACTGGCTAACCCATGCTGTAGAGACATGCAAATGGAAACTTTCTACATCCAGGTGTTAATTTAACAGTAGTTAAATCCCTGCATGCTATTCTTGTCCCTCCTCTTTTCTAATTCTCGTGAATTTTGTGCTTTATAAAATCAAGCTATTTCAAATATAAATAAATCTGTATGCAAACCCACCCTCTTCCCCACAAATACAAAGCTGAATATGAAAGTCAGAACCCGTACACATGCCTACTTTCTGTATGAGAGCATTCTGCCTATCTGGAGAAGTGATTTGACTTCTCTGTATTGCGTTAGACCA